AAGGGTTGCAGAATGGATTACATGAAGCAACACACACTTAACACTCCCCTGATACAAGACAGGCAATGAATACCAGTTCTCACTCAGTTCTTCCTCATGCATTTTAGCTCCAGAAACTCAAATTTCCCATCACAGTGGCCAAAACCGAAGAACTCATTTTATCCCTCAATTATTAAACAAAACAAAGTGCTCCGCAAACTGTGCCCACAAAGACATGGCCCTCTCCTGACCATCTCCTTCCACTCAGCAGGTTCCTTTGGCAGATGGACTTGCAAGTCTCCCCTGCTTTCACCCACTGGGTGTTACCCAACTATGGCTGACCAGAACTCTTTTCTTCTGATTGTGCTGAACAATACATGAGCAGAAAACCTTTAAAATAATGCCACACTGCGATTTCCTCACGTTTTTGTTCTCTCTCGTTTTTTTTTTTTTTTTTTTTTTTTTTAAGAAAAAGGGCACATAGGGGCACCTACATGGTTCAGACGATTAAGGGTGACTCTTAATTTTGGCTCAGGTTGTGATCTCGGGGTCGTGAGACTGAGCCCCAAGTCTGGCTCTGCGCTCAGCAGGGAGTCTGCTGGGACTCTCTCTCCCTCTCCCCTCATCCCACTTATACCACTCTCTCTAAAATAAATAAATAAATCTTAAAAAAAAAAAAAGAATAAGGGTACATACACTCATTTCAAATTATCATATAATGCTAAATGCAAAATTCTGTTTCCTTAATTTAAAAAAAAAAAGTGAAAAATCCTACTCACTCATTTGAATCAATAAAAACTCTGTAAAACAACTGCAAATGCACAAAATAAAATGATTTTCCACTGTGGCTCTTGTGCCTAGGTCTCTCTGATTCAGAGTCATACCACATGGGGGATTATTTTCTAATGTTCATCTTACAAATTGCTTAACTAACAATATGCGGTCCAACTTTCCATTTAGTATACCTTATCTACTCTCTACACACTGTGACTTTTTTGAAGGAAAATTAACTAAATATTTCGGCAGTTTAAGTAGTGGGAAGGAAAGAATTAAGATTGTAGATACAAAGGTGCTGTTTTAATCAGCTTATTAAATATAACATGAACATGTATCAATCAACTAACATTTAATTTCATGGTCTATGATTCAAAACTTTTCAAAAGCGTAACAGTACAAAGTTATCAGCATTTACTTAACAATTCCTTTCCAATTTTGTTTTAACTCATGTAAACCATACAAAATGCTGTATGACAATTGTTACATGTCCTCATAGACTGGAAGAAGGCATGATTAGGAATTAAAATACGAAACATAATTTGAAATTTATCTGTCTTGTGAGATATCAGAACTCGATCCAAAAAGAAAAACACCTACATATATAAAAACACAGCAACAGAATTCCTAAAGTTAGGGAACTCAATATAGGAATCTTTCATAAGTCTATTTCAAACATTCCTATCCCCAACAGACAAAACTCCGATGAAACAAACCACTAAGCTAAAGTTTGTTTTAAACTGTTGCTGCAGAAAATGCAAACAAATCTCTATAAATCTCATTTAGAAAGTAAACCGCCTAACTGCACATTCATTTAGGAGTATTATACAAAGATTTCCCATTACAGAGTCACATTTTGACTTGGAATGTTTGTGCACACACTTATCTCTTTTCTTCCACTGAAAAAGAGGTTTCTTCATGATCTGAATGATTTACTTCTTCACAGAATGATTTAGCTTACCTAAACTCTACTTTTGTGAAGGAGCGGTGAAAATTATCAAGAAAAGCCAGCGAGCGGTTCTGTTCTCTATTTTGCCTGGTAGCAAAAATCGCTATCGCTTTCGCTTTCAAAAAGTCCATGGGGGAGCCTGGGTGGCTCAGTCATTAAGCATCTGCCTTTGGCTCAGGTCATGATCCTGGGGTCCTGGGATCAAGCCCCACATCGGGCTCCCTGCTCGGCGGGAAGCCTGCTTCTCCCTCTCCCACTCCTCCTGCTTGTGTTCCCTCTCTCACTGTCTCTCTCTGTCAAATAAATAAATAAAATCTTTAAAAAATAAAAAAATAAAAGGTCAGTGTCAGACTATTATTTCTTCCTCAAGTGGAGGAGGGCCTGAGGGTAAGGGTCATTAACATCTTTTACTAAGACAAAAAGACTCAACTCTGGTTGCTAAGATACCAACAGACAGATTCACTTAGAGCAGTCAGGACCAATGATTAGAGAAATCTCCCCACAGAACAACACATTAACTACAGCGGGAACCCCTAAGGCAAACAAACAAAATCTCAAAGGCATAGGTAATCCCTGCCCTTGAAGAGCTTCCTATCATCTGCTGTTTGTATTTAAAATTACAAAGCACATTTTAAATATTTTTTTTTTTTAAGGAACAGAAATAAGACAACAGGAAGAAGAGATGGAGGGAAGCTAAAGAAATGTGAATGTCAAGGTCCAATGTTTCCTCTGAGTCTGCAGAATCACATCCCCTGGTTCACTATTTTATTGAACCGAATGAGTCAGTACCATGTGCTGCTGACTCTTCTGGGCATTAGTGACCTGCTGGTTATAAGACAAAGTGTGAGCCCTCACTGAGCTTGCATTCTAGTGAGGAGACAAAGCAGAAGTGCTGTAAACGTTGACATCTCTGCCTGTGTGCAAGTATGGAAGGTTCAAGAAGCTTCAGAGGGGCATGGAGAAAGGTCGGGAAGGCCTCGTCTCTATTTAGCGATTACTATATGCCACGTGTTGGGCTAGGCAATGAGACAGACTGAACAGGAGGCACATGTTCTCTGTCCCTTGAGTGTACTCAGGTGGGAGGTCCAGGTAAAGTAACAAGGAATTCTTGTGATGCCACTTACTGCCCCTGGAAGTCTGACAAGTTGGTAACGCCTTCATCAGGAATAGTGACACTCACCTTCTAGGGTTGTTTTGAGCACTCAATGTTTATAAAACATTTGGCACACTGCCTGGTAAACCACAAATTTTATTATTACAGTTAAGCGTGCGTGTTCTAGAATTACAAGAAATGAGATTGGTGGAAACTGAGGATGGCAGAAAAGGGGAAGAGACAATAAAAGTCTTTAAAAAATCTAAAAGGTTGGAGAAATGGGTTCACATGAGGACTTGCAAGACATACTGCAAAGTGTATTGACGACCCTATAAGAAACTGGATACAATGGAATCACATCACACACCCAATTAAGAGACAAGAAATGAACTGGCAGAGAAGAAAGGAGAGAACAATTTAAATACTACAGGGGCTCTGCCACCATTTCACTCAATAAGGGAATATTTCAGAGTGAATGAGATTTACAGAGAAAATCAATCATCTGTAGTCCTACAGGCAAACTCAGATCCCACGTATCAAGTGTGAGCACCTCACCTCACTGTTAAGTCTAGATATAAACAAAGACCTGTTTTTCAGTACACATACCCTACATGCAAATGTACTATTTAATTTGGCATACAAGTAAGTAAATAGCTAAAGGAATTTTAATTACGTGTGATTTTCATCACCTTTTGTATTTACTTGATAACTAACTCCTGCTTTAAGATGATCTACCATATGATCTGCATTTGACAGACACACAAATGTGCCCAAAGGACTTGGGGCCAGTATACAGCCAAGCCAGGATGCCTGCCTCATTCTGCCTGGCTCCAGATCCCTGCAGTCTTTCCATGATGCCTGGCCATCGGAGTTTGGATTTGAAGGGACAGGCTAAGTTTAAGGAGGAAGAAGATGCAAAACATTTAAGAGGAAAGGTTAATAAGATGGATGGGTATTTGTAAGAAAAGATAAAGACATTAAGACCAAAGACAGAGAAACCAAGTCGGAAGCTGGTGTGACATATGCTCATCACAAATTTCCAAAATAATATTGATTTCACATATTTCAGACCTCTGTGCATACTGAATTTTGAAGTTTTATGGAAATTCAAACATTTCAGCATCCAAACTGTCCGAGTACCTTTCACATCCAAAGCAGCACACGTGTGTACGCACACACAGACACACACAACTTCACCAAATCATGTGTCCATCCAGACCTAAAGCAACAAGTTCTACTGTCTTAGAAACAGAAGGGAACATATGCCAATAAATCAATGGGAAAGGATATAAGTCAGAGATAAATGAATGCTGGGAGTAAAGAAAAAAACCTTCAAAGTACTAGGTGAATAATGGTGCCTCTGATTAGTAATGATGAAATGGAAAAATTGAGAAAAGTAACAAATAGAAGTGTAAGTCAGTCCTCAAAGGAAGTCTTTTGAAGTACATTCCCCCAAAAATTCTGCAACAGAATTCATGAAGTATTTACTCTGTGCCAGTGTACTCACACTAACAAATCTATACATTGAATCACATTTCCCACTGTAATTTTAGCAATTCTCCCTTACCTTGGAGGAAAAGGTCTCCAGCCCCAATAAATAACAAAAGCTGTCATATGAAATAATAACAATAATGATAATGACAGGAGTTACCGGGGCCATGCATCACGCTTTTACAACTCATCTTATAAAGTAGATACTTTATTCTGATTCTACCCGCGAAAATACTTTCACATTCTGTAACTTGCCTAAAGTTGTCTCACACCATGGGGTTGGGACTCCACACTCATGTCCACCTGACCAAGGCTCTTAACCACTTTACATTGCTTTTCCATTTTAAAGATTCAAACGTTCCCATGAGAATTCTGCATTTTTTAGTGCACAGTTTATGAACACAAAATAATTCTCCCACGCACTATTTTACAAGAAGTAACTACGATGAACAGTCAGCACCTTAAGTGAATTCAACTTTTCATCCCCAAAACAAAGACCTTCTTGTGTTTATTACTATTTCACATCGCACAAGTACTATCCATGAATGGCACATAAATTGATAAAAACTCAAAATAAAAGGAATACGTTGCTGGAACAAGTCAGCAAATAGTGTCTCAAAAACTTGAGAAATCAGCTCTACCAGATTCTCGTTAAAATACTCTGTGTGTACAGGGGCTTAATAACCTGTAGTTTTTTTGAAGTGTAAATTTTACCTGGGTCATTATGGGAATGAGGCACCACAAAGACTTGAAGGGGCTTAGAGTCCCATTCATTAAATAAATAGCTAATGTCAAATCCTTGTTTCCAAACTCCACCATCTGGATTGTCAAAAGGAATTAGACTGTAAACATCCAACATCTAAAAATACAAAAGACAAAATATAGGGGAAAAAAGAGTAAATTTAACCATGTATTACCATTTTTAATTTGAACTTAATGTTGGAAAATATTTGCTCAAAGCTAGTCACTGTGTATGTATTTTACTAGATAAAACTATTTCTGTAGACATTAACTGAACAGTTTAAGGCAGAAAACATTTAATTACCATTCAAATTCTTAAAATGCTACTGTGTTACTTAACTATCCTGATAAATAAGCCCCTCCTCCATCTGCTTCTAATGAAAAATAATTTCATTCAATTCCTTCTTGCCCTGCTTTTCTTCTAATACATTTTAGTGGAAACTGATAGGAACTAAACAGCAAAGAAAAAATTTCTTGATGAAATGTGATTATGACCAAATATTTCAGCATTTTCACAAGCAATACTGATGATTTTTTTTACTTTGAGTTGTCTTTATTTTACAATTAATCACATATATTTTAAAATCTGTATCTGAATGGAAATGCATCTACAGCTGTTCCTTCATTTAGCAAATGTTATGTTCACCTTTTTCATTCTAAAACTAAAACTACAACTGAGTGAATGAGGCATAATCATGTAAAAATGGAAATTTTTAAATGTTCAAATGCTCTCTATGTTTCCAATGTAGTAGTCTGAGGTAATAATCTTTTTGGACACAAAGGAAAAAATATTGCAGAAAAAAAAAAAAAAAACCTAAAAGCTGGTATTTTTCATATCCTCTATAATACTAAATGTGACAAAGAACCCAAAACTGATTTTACCAAAATTTGACTTTGGTAAAATTTAAATTATGTAAAAATTATATATAAAATTTTAATTACATAAAAATCACTATATATTATAAAATATATAAGCGGGTTACAAAGAAACTTAAAGATACCGAGCAAATTATGTAAAAAGTGAATGCAAAGTATTTTAAGGCAACAACATATCTCTCACTTCAGAATGTATGACTTTAATAAATAAAATAAAATGCTCCCAAGGATGAGTCAATAAAGGGAACCAGCTGGAAAGGAGGATGTGTTAACAGTCTCTGTTATTCCTTCTGGTTCTTTCTCCGGCCCTGCAGCTCGCCCTGTACCCCACTGCCTCGTTCTGCCTGCCTTCTGGGGTTCTTCAGCAATACGGCTGTTTCTGTCCAGCCCAGATTTAACAACCCCCTCCAAAAAGAGTTTTGTTGTTCTCCTTTAAAAGGTACTTATTTAAAACCTATACGAAGCCAAGACTCACAAAAATAGATATACCTTCACAGCACAGAATCCTGATAGTGTGGGAACCTGACCACACACTAGTTGATAAGATTATGGGCACAAGGCTTGGCCAACTCTGTCTCCAGCTGCTGGCTTGGTCTGTGAGCCACAGGCTTCAAGATCCTATCACATTCTCTGTCCCCAGAAGTTAGTAGAAACATCTACTCCAAAGCAAGGCCAGAGCCAACCCATTTTGTCCAACAAAATTAAATTAAATTAAATTAAATTAATTGACGAGTACAGACTCGTCACCAAGTTTGAGCTCAGGTCTAAGGTACAGGTTAAACACAGCTCTCTGCTAACTGGCAGAACAGAGCACATTTGACACACCTTAAATTTAAGAAAAGCAGAAGTCCTTTCTTATCCTAGTTTACAACTCCACCACCCTCTAGAAAAGCGCTATCCAAGAGAAACAGAATGCAAGGCAAATCCGTAATTTTTTTAATTAATTAATTAAATTAATCCAATATACTCATAATATTATCTCCACATATATGTAAAATGAAACAAAGTATTTTGTATTCGTTTTCATAGTAAGTCTTCAACACTTAGAACACATCTCAATTCAAACTAGCCACATTTCAAGTGCTCAGGAGCCACACGTGGACAGTGACTTTCATACTGAACAGCACAGCTCTAGAATATTTCCCTTCCCTCTCTCACAAAGAGATATTCAGCAGAAGGTATCGAACCCTACACTGTGTGAAACCTATAATGTATAAAAGATATATAGTAAGAATAAGGCTTTTCTTATACTCTTAATAGGAAGATAAGAAAATCTCTTTGGTCAAATTTAAACAAACCTCTAAAAGTCTTCATCTACTAGACAAAATAAGACCTAAAAAGCATACAAAAAGGCCATAATCACAAAGTATAAAATAATAAAAAAAATAATTAGGGAAATAAAGAATTACAGAATTTTATCACTAAAAACAACTTTAATGGTCATGTGACTAATCCAGTCACTTTACAAAAACAGAAACTAGAATCCAGAGTTTAAGCAACTTACTAAGTTAAAACAGACACCAGATCAAAAAAGAAAGAAAAGCAAGAAAATCCCAATGATCATTAACGAATGCATACATTACCTGCACATCTGAATTCCGACTTCCACTTTGCAAAGCGAATGAACAGTCTTCAGGGTCCACTACAAGGGACAACTGTTTTGATGGCAGAAGAGGTGCGCCAGCACCTTGGCTGAAATTGCCTTGTGAACTTTTTGGACCATCCTCCACAGACTCACTCAAATTGATGACCGAGTCTCTAATGTTTGAGATGATCTCATTATTCTCAGCTAGCAAACGCTCCAAATGGTCTATTTTTTCTTGCAACGTTGAGAGCTGGCCCTACAATAAAAAAGAAAAAGGCAGCTATATGAAACTCTAATATAGCTCTGCTGGGGCACACGCATTTTTTTTTTTTAAATTATGTGCCTGCCCAAGAGGGCAGCCACTCACCCTTCACTTTCCACTTTTATAAGTGGGACCACAAAAAGCGTGGACGGCTGGCAGTGTTGAAACACCAATTTACAACAAAAAATCTCCGTGGCTGCAATCTTTGTTTAATCATATTTTAAAATGTGCAAGAGAAAAACCAAAAATATTTTGGGATATATTTCCTATTGCCCCCAAACCCAATCCTAAAAGATCTGTTGAGTTCTCTATAATAGCTAAGTATAACATATTATGTTCAGGTATGAAATTTTAAATTTTAGTTAAATGATTCTAGTTACTTGAAAGGGTCAAAAAGTATGAACCTGAAAAAAATCATTCCATTGTAGTAACCCTAGTGGACAATCCTAAATAAGAAATATCATCTACAGGAAAATCAATTAGTCAACCCTCAATTAGCCACATGCATGAAAAGTAACCACGCTATAGGTCACGTAGACTGCTTCTCCTACATTGTGTGACTTTAAGGGTTTTTTTTTCTTTTAAGATTTTATTTATTTGACAGAGAGAAAGCTAGAGACAGAGCAGGAGTGGAGGGGGAGGGGCAGGGAGCCTGATGTGGGGCTTGATCCCAGGACCCTGGGATCAAAACCTAAGCTGAAGGCAGACCCTTAACCGACTGAGCCACCCAGGTGCCCCAACTTTAAGGTTTTTTAATTGATCCTCACATTAAGAGGCTTGTCATCTTTATAACATAAAACTTGTTGTAGAGAGTAGTATTTCAGCTTATGAGAGCAAGGACAATCTTTGTCTTATTCATTCCTATATATAGGGCCTTAAATACGTGGTAAATACTTAAATATCTGTCCCATGGCCCTTATATTTCTGGAACTCAACAATAATTCTTTAGTGAGCACCCACTGTACCAGGCAAATGCTACATGCTGGGAAGACAGATACACATAAGATATGGGTCCATACCTGAACACAAAAAGTGGCACTCTCACAAGCAACAGCCTACCCAAAGTCCACACTAGGGTTTAATAAAATAACTCTATGCCCAGCGAACAAATAACTCTGGACACCCAAAAACAAAAGTTCTATCACCAGTAAATAACAGGAAGACAGAAAGAAGAAGGAATGAAGTAACAGGAAGACAGTAAGAAAGAGGAAGGGGAAAAAAACACCTGAATGTCCAAAGGTGAAGAACTGGTCAAATGGTACATCTATATCATGGAAATGTTTTCAGTCACTGAAAATTTAGAAATATTAATTCCTTAAAAACAGAAATACGTGAATCACAGACCTGTACCCCTGAAACAAATAATGTATTATGTTAATAAAAAAATATATATATATATGGGAAGGTACTTTCAGAAGATACAGTAGAGAAAAAGTTTAAAAAGCATGCATAAAAAAAGTAGTAATTTGGTATCATCCTTTTGGAAAAAAAATTATGGAAGACCATAATCAAGATGGTAAAAACTGGTCACGGCATTCACAGGGAGTCCCCAAACCTCACACGGGCCAGTGCCCGCAAACCTCCTAAGGCAGTCCACCTTGGCAGCACTCTGATCCAGGAGCGTCACAGGGGTCACCACTGGAAGAACATCTCTAGGATTCTGCCTGCTTCCTTTTGTGGAAATTTACAAGAGGAAGGTTGACCCGATCTTGAGGCCACAGCGGTCAGGGCCCCGCCGACTAGAGCCCCTCCAGCTCCGACCCGCGGTCCCCCTCCGGAGGCAAAAGCAGCTCCGGGGTGAATTCCAGAGCAGAGCCACCTCCACACCAGTTCTCCCACCCGATCCGGCACCACTGGCAGAGTGAGAGGCAGCCCGAGAACGAGAGCCAGGTCTCGAGGCAGCTCAGCGCTGCTGGGGGAGGCCGGTTTCCTCTGACAAGGCACAGGGACGGGCTGTGCTGGGGCGGCTTCCTTCTCCCCAGGGTTGATCCGGAGCCCTGTCGATACATGTCACTGCACCCCGGGCGCAGGGCTGTGCCCGCACGGGGCTGTGTCTGATCTGGGGGCAGCAGTGGGGCTGGGCAGGAGGACGGTGAGGACGGCCGGGCAGGGCTCCGCTCACTGTCTTCGCAGAGCCCCATGGAAGAAATTGGGGACAAGCTGGTCAACAGGAGCCTCCCTCAACGGCTCCCCGGCGTGGGGCACGTGCACCAGGCAGTCGGTAAGGGCTGGTGCGGGCTCAGGGGGAGTGTGGGGACGAGGGCGCTCAAGGACCAGGCTCGGGGAGGGCCGGGAGTGTCTCCTGCCCCGACGCCATCCGGGACACTGACGACCCGGGGTGCCACGACGGCTGTGCCCCTTACATGGCCATGACCTCAACCCAAGGGGTCTGGGCTGCTCCCTTCACAGACACACACAAACAGACACACACGCCAAACACACACACACACCGAGTCCTTCAAACACACACACACACACACACACCTGGTCCTTCACACACAGACACACACACCCGGTCCAGCCCCAGCCTTGGCCAGGTACAAAATCACCCTTCACATACGTGGAAGATGATCCGAACCAATTTGGATATTCTGTGGCACTTCAGGACACGGACAGGAATAGTTTTGCAATTTCTGTGTTGTGAATTGTCCCTCCTTTACCACAGATCAGCCCCACCGTGAACCTGAGTGGGCCCTGCCGCTGGGGGCGAGCCAGAGGCTGTGGGCGGTCCGTGCTGACAGCCTGAGGAAGCTGGTGGAGCCGGGCCAGGCCCTCTCCTGTGGCCCCTCTCCCGGAGCACCTCCCAGAGGAACGCCTCCCCAGCCCTTCCCACACCTGCTGCTCACCAAGGTGAGCAGGGCCCCCCGTCCCGCCCGGAGGCTCCCCCTCACCTGCGGGCTGTGTGTCTCGGGCCTGGCACGTCCCCTCTCCGAACCTCAGGTGTCTCCTGGGGACCCTGCGTGCCACGAGGCCAGGCCCCACACACGGGGTTGCCGTCGGGCCTGTTGGGACGGCTCCCCGACCCTGTGGCCGGCCCACGGGGAGGGTCGCCTGGGGCTGAGGCGGTTCCTCTTCACCGTGAAGGAGGTCTCTGCCCCAAGCCTCGCTGTCCTGTGTCCCGGGCAAAGCCGCATTCCTGGCTGTGAGGAGGTTTCAGATTCCATCTGGGGCTCCCATCCTGGGTGGAGCCAGAACAGGGATCCCTGGGGGCTGGCAGAGGGGCCCCAGAGCCACTCAGACATCTGAAAGGTGCTGGCTGGGCTTCATCGACTCCACACATGGACAGGAAGCCCCTTCTAGACATTTTCCATAATTCAGGGAACAGGGCAGACAAATGTCCCTGCCCCGCGGGCCTCTTTCTAGGTGGGGGTCCGCCACTAAGCCTAGACGACAAAGCAGAGATGGGCACACGATGTTGCGTGGGACGCCCTGCCGGCCTCCCCTACATACGGATCCCTCTGCTCTCATTGTCCGAAGGATGACGGGCCCTAGGACGAAGAAGAGCCCTTGTCTCAGAGGTGGTGAGGGAACGCGGGGGACCGGTCAGGTGCGGAGCCATGGGTCTCGTGCACATCTGCCGCAGGGCTGGGTCATGGTCCAGGAGCTGTGGGCAGGTCGTCTGTGCACACCTGGCCATGACACACCTGGCTGGCCCTCTCGGTGGGGAGGCCTGCGTGCACCTGTCCCCCACCTACCCCTGGAGGAGCAGCCACGTTCAAGCCTTTCCATGTCCGACCCTCAGGGACAGTTGGGAACCTGGGTCAAGAGAGGCAGGGACTGGCCCAGGACAAATGAGGGGTGCAGAGTCCAAGGAGCTGCTCTCCAGTCCCAACCCTCCCATGAGGTTTGCTTTGGGGGTGAGAGCCCCTCAGATCCTCAGGAATAGCTACCCACACCGTCCCATGTGGGGACATGACCTTGCCATCCCCAGGCACGTAGAGGCACATGCACCTGCACACCCACCCCACACCCACACACACACCACTCTGACTGCCCAGCTGGGGGTCAGAAGGGGAGGAAACCCTGGGAGCGAGGTGGGTGACAGGGGGGAAAGAAGAAACAGGTTGCAGACAGCTGGGCCATGGGGCAGGGCATCAGGACTCCTGGCAAGGACCCAGATCCATAGCATGGGGAGGGGAGACAGGCCAGGCTGAGGGTCAGGGGTCCCCAAGAGGCCCAGGGCGGTTGCCAGGGCACTGGGAGAGGACACGGTCTGGGTTCCGGTGTCCATCACCAGCCTGGGCACTTGGAAGCAGGAAGAGATACCCACCCCCAAGTCCAGAGGGGCTCCAGCACAAAGGCCTCAGCTTACTCTTCTGTCACTTGGGCTGTAGAGATGCAGTGTCCCTAGGGTCCCACAGGCTTGTGGGAGAGCCTGTTGGCCTTGGATCTCCATTCCCGACCCCCTGTGCCCCCAGTCCTGGGAAAATGCTTTGTACTCCCTCGAGGTCCTTCGGAGCAGAGGACAGACTGGGGGCTTGGGGGGCTGAGGACCTGGGTACGCAGAACGTGGCAGAGCACTGACCACTAGTCTGGGGACCAAGGCCAAGACCCTCCTTGTTGCAGCCTCCGGGTCTCCATTTGGAAGAGGTTCCAGATTCACTGCTCTGGTCCGGGTGACAAGGCCTTAGGAAGGAACGGAGCACCGGGACAGAAGAGGGAAACACGGACAAGGGAGGCTTCTGAGGTTTCTCACATCACCCCTGGAGTCCACAGATCCTGCTCCTGTGAGAGACACAGAGACAGAGACAGAAACAGAGAAGGAGACAGAGAATGAACACACGACAGTGGGAACCAGAAGAAGTCACAGACTTTCCTCCATCAGCTTGGAAATGACATCCCAGCATTTGGCCCCATTCTCCTCCTGAGAGTGCGGTCACACAGGCCATCCACCCCGGAGGGGAGGGGATTCCACAGGGATGTGTGAGCAGGATGCGGGAATGCCCGGGAACCACTGTGGGGACTGCCCAGCACGTGGGCGCAGACGAGGTCCCGGGGCCTGAGCCTAAACCTAATGGGAGCCCCTGGAAGTGTGCGTCACCAGGGGACAAGGTCGGAATCAGTTCATTGCAACCTTCCCACAGGGGCTGGGAACAGGCAAGAAGGGGGTGGCTTTGCCCAGACCCCAGAGCAGACCCAGGCCCCTCTGAGCTGTGCTCCATGTGCCGCCCAGCCCCTGGCTCATCCTTGCATTGCCAAGTGTGCCCCAGCCTCCTGTGAGAGCAGGTCCGGAATGTATGTAGAGGTCCTACCCCTGATGGCTTCCCTAGGAGTAGAAGCCAGAACACCCCACTGTGCAGATGGGGAGCCTGGGGAGGCCCTGAGAGGCACAGGGTCTGTCCAGGGTCACAGCCCTGGGCATGCAGGGGAGCCCAGTCTGAAGCCAGCTCTGTGTCCTCACAGCGGGGACACCGGCTGCACCCAGGCCTTGGGAAGGCTGTGGGGGGGCTGTGAGGAAGTCACTGTATGGATGGGGCATGGGGGGAGGGGGAGCATTGAGCAGCCGGGGGAGGGGGCCCTCGGGCGGGGATCTTGTGTGAGGAGGAAGTTGGGTAAGGGGACCCCAGGCAGTGGTGACCTCACTTCCCTGACAACAGAGTCCAACAGAATTTGGAACCCCGGTAACCAGGCACCCACATTCCAGAGACAGCCCCCTGCCCAGCTCATTTCTTTGGAGACCCTCCAACAAAAAGCATGTTCGGGTGCTGCTTCCCCAAATCTGGACGCTGCAGGCTGAAGAAAGAGCGCCCTGCAAACGCTGTCCCCCGCTGGGGATGTCGAATCAGGGCTCCCCACAGCCTCTGGCCATTTGGCCAGAAGGACAGAAAGGTGACACCAGGAGGCCCAGAGCCTGCCACCCAGCCCCACACGCTCTGATCTGCCTGTGGAGCCCCAGGCCCCCCTCCGTGTGTGTGTGTGTCTGTGAGTGTCTGTTTGTGAGTGTGAGTGTGCGTGCGTGTGTGTCTGTGGGTGTGCGTGCGTGTGTGTGTGTGTAAAGAGGGTTCATGCAGGGTGGGGCCACCCTGAGCAGGAGCAGGCTGATGAGGGGTCAGATTCCCAGTGGGCAGGTCATGTTCAAGGTCAAGGCTGGCTTGGTGGGATGGGGTGTGCGGGCGCTGCCCCTTCTACCCAGGGTTTATCCCGATCGCCCTGCAGGGATGGGTCACTGCATCCCGGGTGCAGGGCTGTGCACTCACAGGTCTGTGTCTGATCTGGGAGCAGCAGGGGGACTGGGCAGGAGGACAGTGAGGATGGCCAGGCAGGGCTGTGATGCCTCCAGCCGGCTACCCGTCCCTGTCTTTGCAGAAGGCCACGGATGACCTCCCGAGGCGGCTGGCGGACAGGCCCTCCTCCCTGATGGAGGGGTTGACCCCACAGGCATCCCCAAAAACAAGTGCTGGGGATTGCCGGGCAAGACCTCCAACACCACCCACACCACTGTCCCAGGTGGTTGGTCACCGGACAGTGGTCCAGGAGCCGGAGCCCACGGAGACCGAGCCTGAGGGTGAGAAGGCTGGGGCTGGGTGTTTGTGGTGTGTGGGGATGGGTCGGTGCTGGCCCCACAGGGACGAGCCCCCAGAGGCTGGTGTGGGGCCTGGAGCAACGACTGGGCGCAGAGCATCCAGCGGGTGGACTGCAGTCGGGGAGACACCCCAGGGAGGGCTCCTTCCTGGCTGCGGCTTCTCTGGGAGGCCCTGGGCTGGGTTCTGTCTCCGCAAAGGCCCACAGAGAGCGGGCTCGGGGTGAGCTTTTCTCCTCTCACAGCTGCCCCACCACCTGAGGAGCTCGAGCCCGTTCCAACTCCATCGGCAGCTCTGGACGGAGTGGTGGTGCCTGCAGCGACCTCAGGAGGAGACCAGGAGCCGGCAGGTGACCCGGCACCCACCCACGGACAGCCTGACGTGGACCAGGAAGAACTGGCACCTGCCCCTGACCCAGCTCCTACTACTGTTCCTGCCCCTGACCCAGCTCCTGCCCTGGATCCTGCCCCTGACCCAGCTCCTGCCCTGGATCCTGCACCTGCCACTGCTCCAACCCAGCTCCTGATCCTCCTCCTACCCCTTCCCCTGCCCCTGCCAGAGCCACGGCCCCTTCCCCTGCCTGAGCTCCGGTTCCTGCTCCTTCTCCTGCTCCTCTCCCTGCCCCTGCCAGACTCCGCTGCCCCTTCCCCTGACCCTTCCTGAGCTCCTGTTCTTGTCCCTGACCCTGCTCCTGCTCATAACCCTACCCCTGCCAGACCTGCTGCCCCTTCCCCTGCCCCTGCCTGAGCTCCTGTTCCTGCTCCTTTTCCTGCTCCTGCTCCTGCCCCTTCCCCTGCCAGACCTGCTGCCCCTGCCCCTGCCCCTGCCTGAGCTCCTGTTCCTGCTCCTTACCCAGGTCCTGCCCTAGATCCTGCACCTGCCACGACTGCTGATCCTATCCCTCCCCTTGCCCCTGCCCCTGGCCCTGCTCTTACACCTGGCCCTGCCCCTGGCCCTGCCCCTATCCCAACCCCTGCCCCTACTCCTGCTCCCGCAGGGCTCCCAGAGCCACATCCAGAGCCCACAGCCCTGCGGGGAGAGCTCCTTGTACAATTACCCTTAGGTCCATCGCCGGACCCCGACGCCCCGCCAGATTGTTTCATCCCCTCCCCCTATGTTCTTTCTCTCTGGTTCATATTGTTCTAGTTCATATTGTTCATTTTCATGTTCTCTATACTGTTTATTATTTGTTTTAAATAAAATTACTTGTTTTCAACTGAACATGTGATGAGCATAAGTACATTCCCAACGCTGTGCCACCACACCCCAGAAGATTGCTGTGGAATATCTCATGTCTCAAAGGAGTCCCCGAACCAGAAGCCCCCCTGCCCATTTCGCCCCCAGCCCAGACCCTGGAAACACCTAAGCTGCTTTCTCTCCCTATTCTTTTACTTGTTCTGGATGTTTCTGTACATGGAATCATGCAATAGGAGCCTTTGTGTCTGCCCACTTATTTTCAAAGGGGACTCGTTTTCTTCTGTTTATTTGTCATAAAATTTCCCTTATTCGATATTGAAATCCCCGATTGATTACAGATCAGATGTAATCAGAGAGGCCACTTTAGGAATTATGGGCACAGGGGCGCCTGGGTGGCTCAGTCGTTAAGCATCTGCCTTCGGCTCAGGTCATGATCTCAGGGTCCTGGGATCGAGCCCCGCATTGGGCTCCCTGCTCCATGGGAACCCTGCTTCTCCTTCTCCCACTCCCCCTGCTCGTGATCTCTCTCCCTCTCACTCTCTCTCGCAAATAAATAAAATCTTTTTTAAAAAAAGGAATTACAGGCACAATCTCGGGGCAGAGACCCCTGTACCTGCTGGGACACCACAGCCTGACCCCAGACAGGAAACGGCTGGTTACTCCTGCGGCCCACACAGAAACCAGGTAAACGCAGAAAGCTGGAAGACACACCACAAAGCAAGGCCAGAGAAAGGTTTCACCTGACTCTGGTACAAACCACGCTCCAAGTCACTGGGTTCCACAGGGATGGAGACCAAACACATGCCAGTCCAAGGGGGAGGATAGGCATGCAGGGAATATGTGTCAGAGATGTGGAGCTCCCGGGGAAGGATTCCGGCAAAGGAAACCCTATGGAGGCAGCGCTCATCACCCTCAGACTGGCAGGTGTCTGGTCTGGGGAGAACGTGAGTAAGTGGAGGTCCAATGCAGGTCCCCTGGAGGAAAGGGTGACGGGCACCCCTGTCTGGGAGAACAGTGAGCATCACCCATCCCAGGCTGCAGGTGCACCCATCACCTGGCATGCTCGGCCTCAGACTCACCCCCGGAAACTCTGGCTCGGTTTTTCACAGATCTGCTTTCAGGAGTGTTCATCACAGCGGTGGTGGAGAGAGCAGGGAATGGAACAACGCTAATGCCCAAGGAGATGGATGGGATCCATGGTCCCAGTCCTCATGATAGAATGCCCTGTAGCCACTGTCACATTGTCATTCGGGGCACAGGATCCGGGAAGCCCCTCCTGAGACCCCTCCTGCCACCCTGTTCCTGGGAACATTGAGAATTGTTTGAGGAGGAGGTGGAGAGGATCCAGGATGACACCGGGTCCAAGGAGAAGGAAGGTCAGCACTGGGAGGACAGATGGACGTGCCCTGAGCCACCATCCAGGACCCAGGCTGTGATGCCCTCGGACCTCACCCCAAATAATGGCTCCTGAGGTACAGATCCAGCTTCTGTGGTTTCACTCCCTCCCTCCCTACGTCATTTATTCACTCATTCATCCCCCCCTCTCTCTCCTTCCCCTCCACTCCTCCCTTCCCTCCCCCACTCCCTCCCTCCCTGCCTCTCTGCCTCCCTCCCATCCTCCCTGCCTCCCTCCCTCCCCTCTACCCCTCCCATCCTCCCTTTCCTCCTGCCTTTCTCCCCTCCCCCTCCCCATCCTGCCTCCCTCCCATCCTCCCTTCCCTTCTCCCTCTCTCCCCTCCTTCTCTCCCATCGTCCCTCCCTCTCTCTTTCCCTCACTCCCATCCTCCCTCATTCAGCACAGGATCTGGGGTCCCTGCTGGGTACTGAGCACTGGGGCTTCATCAGTGAGCACCCCCCAACCCACATGGTCACGTCCACTGTGGGAGGTGATGGGGGGCAGTCCTCACGGCTAGCTCTGGCGATGAGCACTAGGAATCTGCTCCTGGAAACAGGCCAGTCGCACAAAGAAAAGAATGGAGAGACCCGTGTTTAGCACCTCCTCTAGAA